CCTCACAGGGAGGAATTCCTTCCCAAAACCCTCTGCTGAGTCTATTTCTCCATCTATAAAAGAGGAGCAATGTTGCATGGATCTGTGAAGTTGGATCATGGAATCCTGGAATGGTTTGGGTGGGAAGGAACCTCAAAGCCCCTCCAGTCCCACCCCCTGCCATGGGCAGGGAACAGGTTTGCTCCCGCTCCAGAGGAGTTTTTGCCAAATATTGTTTGTGAATTAATGGCTTATTTAGAAATAAAGGTGGGAAAGTGGGAAAACAGTGGATCATCCAGGTGCAGATGCAACTCTGAGTGTTACACGCTCGGTTTTAAGGGGGCTGGTGACCACAAACCGAACCTCTTCTTAGTGGAACACCAACAAATATGAGATGTAAAGTTAAAAACCACCCCGAGTTTGTGCCTTGGGTTTGATGCTGCAGCAGAGCAGCTCCTGAGGGACATCCCCCTGGAGTGAGTGTTTATCCCAAGGTCTGTGACCCCGAGCTGCTCCTCTCCCTTCCCAGTGCACCCGGCCGTGGTGATCCGGCAGCGGAAATCCTACAGGAGGAAAGACGGGGTGTTCCTCTACTTCGAAGACAATGCAGGGGTGATTGTAAATAACAAAGGAGAAATGAAAGGTGAGGGTTGGAATCGTGTGGATTCCCACTGGGAATGTGGGGAGGTGGGCATTGCCACAGGGCTGAGCTTTCCTGAGGGAAAGGACCCAGGTTCCACTCAGAGAGTGGGAAATGCTGCCCTGGACCATCTGTGCCCTTTAATCCTGGAATTCCAGAATGGTTTGGGTTGGAAGGGACCTTAAAGCTCATCCAGTTCCACCCCCAGGGGCACCTTCCACCGGCCTGGGTTGCTCCAAGCCCCGTCCAACCTCGACCACTTCAGGGATGGGGCAGCCACGGCTTCTCTGGGAATTCCATCCCCCCCTCCCGGGGCAGAACTGATGCTCCGTTATCCCTGTTTTCCAGGCTCAGCAATCACAGGCCCCGTGGCCAAGGAATGTGCGGATCTGTGGCCCAGGATCGCCTCCAACGCCGGGAGCATCGCCTGAGCCTCCCCCTGAGCCTCTGCAGAGGCAGCAAATAAAAGGCCTTGTACCCAACTCCGTGCTCTGTTTCTTGCCAAAGCGTCTCCTCTGTGGAGCAGAAAGGTGCTGGAAGAAGGGAGGTGGTGCTGGGAAGGATTTTTATGGAGCTCCTTGTGTGTTTCAGCAGGAAAACGGGATTTGGGGCTTTTAATACCTGAAGTCTCTTTTTTTAGGCAGGTTCTTGCCCTGCTGGAAAAACACCTGGAATGGCTTAAATTTTAGCAACAGTGAATTGATCCAGTGGGTGTGCACAGACAGGAACTGGGAGGGGTCTGTGGGAGCCCTGCCTTTGTGCAGGAGCTCTCAAAACTGTAGAGTTTCTGGAATTTTCTTCCAGAATGGGCAATTTTAACTGCTTAGGGATAATTTTAACTACTCAGAGATACTGTGGGGGGAGAAATACTGCCCGAAACAGCTGACCCATGAGCTGCAGGTCCTGGTGGAGAGTGGGATCTGAGGAATGTCCCTCAGGACACGTGGAGGCCACTGCTGTGACCCGAGGGAGCGGCTGAAGCAGGAGCTGCTGAACCCTCGGTGCCAATTCCACGTGGAAGGTCTGAGCTGAGCTTCCAGGATCAGCTCCAGAGGCTTCAGGAGCAGAGTGGGGAGGTACGTCCAGGGACAGGCTGTGGTTTTCCTGGTGTTTCTGGAGCAGAGGGAGGAGTGGTTTGGGTGTTCCTGGCCCACCCGAGCAAGGAGAATGTCTCATCCCTGGGCTCACCAGTGACTTTGTCCTTGTTTTGGGCCCTGGTGCCCTGGAACACCCACCCTGAAACAGGGGCTGCTCCCAGGCCTGGCTGCAATTCCTGCCTCCATCTGCCCTGGCACTAAGGGCATTTTCCCTCAGCACAGTGCATTTCTTTCCCTCTGCTTGGAGATTCCTGATGTTTTTGTGCAATTCCTGGTGCCATTCCCGGGGTTTCAGTGCAGGGAGGGTGGGGAAACGGAGCGAAGCCTCTCAGATTTGGAAGCACAAACCCAGGGAATGATGGGACAAACCAACAGGGCCTTGCACTGACTGGTTTGGGAATTTTTTAACTGATTTTTTGATTTATTTTTTTTTCTTTTTGTTTTTAACCATCTCTCTGGCCTAACCACGAACCTGCAAAATCCCGTGGCCCAAAAAATGTTCCTTGCCACTCCCCCTGGAGATGCAGGGACCTGCTCAAGCCTAAGGGACAAACCTGTTCCCCCCTGATGCTTTAACAGCCATATTTCTGATTTTGGAAGACTCTTCTTTCCTTGGATTCTTGGATTAAAACATTTTGGGTTTAATTTTTTTGGGAGAGGGTGTTTTTATGGCTGAACACCTGCCTGCCCGTGGGAAGCAGTGAATTAATTCCTTGCTTTGCTTTCTCTGCTTTACCTAAAACTATCTTTATTTCAACCCATGAGTTTTTCCAGCTTTTTACCCTTCCAATTCTGTCCTGGATCCTGCTG